ATAGTCTTCTATCTGCCGTTTTACAAACAGGACTTCCTTCTTTTTAACTATATTTTGTAATTTTTCTGACATTTGTAAAAAAATAAACCCAAAATTGGGCTTATATTTTTGTTATAGGCTTATTTTTAGGCCAGCTCACTCAATGATACACTTGGGCAATGAAATAGATCCGCCTAGCAGTCTGCACCCCTTTTATAGCTCAGTTTTACGTACGTATGCTCTTGGCTTGAACTGTAACTCGGCTTTGGTGTCATGCATCCTGTGACTCCGTCACAAGCACTGGAAAACCCACTAAGGTTCTGATTAGTAGACAGTTCAAAGCCGGTTCCTGAGCTCTAGCTGCCTCCTAGTCTTCAGCAGTGAATTTGGTCTTCTGGTGAAATCATTTTTCTTTCTCTCTCCTTGAACTTTAACCACAGTCCCGTGAACATGTCTTCAAAGTGATGTGGTGCACACCTGAGACAACATTTTCCTTTTCTTAACTTGGAGCAGAGTGTGAGTCCAGAGCTGAGAGGGCAAGTCTCACCAGCATGCATGGGAAGTGTGTTTGGAGGGGTTCCTGTGAAGTCCAGTGTAGTAGCTCCTGATGAGCGTTGTGTTTTTCAGGACCGCCCAGTAACACCATCTTTACCTCCCATCACTGGTGAGACGACAGCTGTGGTTCTTGGACGGATTAACAACATTCACGATCCCTTCACTTTAAAACCAAATGTCAAAAACTTCTGTGAAAAGAGCGCGGCCACATGGCCCGTCAGCAGGAATCCTCTCTCTGCAGGCAGACGCTGAATGTCTGCGAGGAGCCCCTTCGTGCCTTTAGCCTCCCCCTGGTTATAAACAGCTTCAGCCCCACAGACTAACGCCAAACATGCTCTCATGAGAAAATGTTTCACAGAAGGGTGGAATTACGCTTGTTTTCCTTGGTATTCACACGTTTTTTTTAAATGCCCCACGGTAATCTTTAAAGGCTCCTACAGAATTTGCACGACTGTAGTCGTACAACTTTGATTTGAACTACCGGGACACAACGTGGGTGTGTTGAGCCTGTGTGTGTGTGTGTGTGTGTGTGTGTGTGTGTGTGTGTGTGTGTGTGTGTGCTTTCTAAAGTAAGTGATTGACACAATTTGACCAGAATAACTCTAACTCTTGTTTATCTGGTTTTCTTTTAATGTTTGGAATTAAAGTTGTTGAGGAAGAAAATGAACATTAGCCAAAGTAACTTTCTGTTGCTAGATATATTTGTTTAGAAAGCTTTTAAACAAGAACTTATCTGTTCCTTCCTCCCTGTTCATAGCACTAAGCTCATTGTGTTGAAACCACGATGCACCTGCTGATCGGTCTTTTGTCTTTAACACCTGTGGGTGTCAGAGGCTGCTGTGACAGAAGGATGAACCTCATTTGTTAACAGAAGCAGCAGCAGAGGGTTTGCTGAGCTTGTCTAACGCAGAGATGGGCTCACACCGATGGTCTGGTGTGTTATGTGTGCATTAACCATATGCTTTCTTCTACAGCTCACAGGTAGGTGGATTAGAAACACTGAAACTCCCCGACCCTGTCTAGGGTTGTGGTCAAACTCGTATGTGTGTATGTGTGTGGTTTCATACAACTATCCATACGTGTGTGTGTGTGTGTGTGTGTGCAGCCATGCTGCCGAGCCTGGTTCTGCATCGTTCTTCTGTTCATCCATACCAGAGGGGTTTTTACTGCAGTGACTCCAGCCTGAACTACCCCTACAAGAGCAGCACCGTACCCTCTTCAGTGCTCATTTCTGTTGGCATGACACTACCCATGGTGTCTGTAAGTCGTCCCCCGTAACGCCCGCCACAAAGAGTGCTCGGCCGTGGAGACAATGCCAGCAGAATCAGGGTGGGCTTGAGGTTCGTTAAGTCTGGAGTGACAGTCAGGGAAGTTCAGTGTTTACCAATTATTTACTGATCTGATTAGAAATGTTATGATTGTGGCTCAGTGTCCTGTCCTGGTCCACTTGGGCTGCTAAACGGCACATTTTATTTATTTCCCTTCGCTAAAACACCTGATTTAGCCTCAAACTCTTCTGATGAATTGAATGAAATCAGGCGTGTTAAAGCAGAGAAAGACGATGTGGTGGACATCAAGGACAAGGACTGGAAACCACTGGTAGTAAGAAAAGTCGGAGGTATTTCCTGGTCTGTGAATGCACCATCGCTAAGACGCCTATGGCATGTCTTTGGTGTTGAGCAGACTCAGACGTAGCTATCAGTTATGTGTGTTTGATAATAAATCAGTGGATTATCTATGTAAGTGTGCTCACGCTGCTGGTTTCACCAGAACCAGCTGCCACAGGTGGCACACTCCAAGTCCAGCTTAACGTGTAACACCCATCGTCTGCAGCGAGGGACGAATGCATTGCTTTAATGATTACCGTGTAAAAGAAATACACGTGTAGTTACAAGGTTTTTCTCCATTTTCAGTAAGTTTTTAGTCTAATCTTAGCAAAAACAACTTTTGGTTTTATTGCGAATGTTCACTACGATGTTTGTAGGTAAGCTCTTTACAATAGTTAGAAAATGGAATCCGACACAAACGCATGACTGGTGCATTTAGAGACGACTTTGCAACACGTGGTAAAGTCTGATTGGCCCTTTGGTTGCATCTATGTTTGAAAACTGTCACTCCAAGTTGTCAAATTACTGACGTCCTCAAGCCCGACCCTTTTCTGATGTTCCATGATCCTTGGTGTCAGCATGCCCCTTGTGCTGCCGCTGTTTTCTCCTGTCCATGTCCGTGTCACTGACCTGGTGCCTTTATGCTTTCTTCTCTCCCTCTTCCTGTCCTCTCTCTTTGTGTCTTTTGTAGCTAGCCTGCCTTTCCTGATCATTGAGACTAGCACCATAAAGCCGTTCCAGCGCGGGTTTTACTGTTCGGACGAGTCCATCCGCTTCCCCCGAAAAGAGGGAGACACCATTAGTGATGCCGTGCTTTGTGGCGTTGGCATTCTTATTGGCATCTTCTCTGTAAGTCGACATTCACACCTCCCTTCTTTTATTTTGTTACTTCCTTCTTCTCAGACTCTTAGATGCCTTAAACGGACACCTCACCAAAGCTTTTGGTTCCTTATCAGTCCGTATTTATAAAAACACTCGACTTCTCTTTCCCTGTGAAGGTGTTTTTACATGTCTCCATCATCCATCCCATAACATTTTCTTCCTTACACTTAATTCGCCGCTTCTTTCCGTCATCTCCCACCATCTCTAATACGTTTTTATTGTTTGGCTGAGTGAGTCAGTGTTAGTGAGACGCCCTGTGGGTGAGATTACTGCTGAAACGTGCCACCAAAGACCCACGATTTTCCAGGTGCAGATTCTTCATGCATCTTGACTTCATGGCCTCATTTTCCAACCTCTCATGATGGGGTGCCTCGTGGATAACCTGGGGTATCTCACACTCCCTATGGAAATATGTTAGAATGACTCTCAGTGGGCGTATTTAGATTAGCGCCACATGCTCACGAGCCTCCTCGCACTCCCCCAAGCATTTCCAGTCGAAGTCGTTGCCACACTGCCGCCGCCTTACATCATCTCAGTGGGCACACACACACACACACACACCCAGAGTACCAGCTCAGCTCTTCTGCTTACTGAAAGCAGGAGATTTGAGCTCGAGTTCGTTAGTTCCCTCACGTGTGGGTAGAGTTGGCGTGCCTCACACAGCTGTCTTCCATTAGAGGCGTCTAGAGGCGTGCCGACGCGTTCCTTTAACAAGCCAGGAGATTTAAACACTCTGATGCTTGAACGTACACACACATATGAACACGTATAACATGCAGTGGAAGCAGTTTCTGCTACACGGTGAAGCTCGGTCAACTCCAGTTGGCGTTGATAGTCCGATCAGAAGTGGCCCTTCTGCCTCAGTGCAAATCCCTCTAACCCAAATATACTTCTGTGGACGGTTCTGAACTCCTGTGGCTCTAATCAGCTGCTCTGATCAGAGGAAATGAATGAGAATACAGACAAACATGTAAAAACCTGCAACAGAGTTAGCTCCAGGCCGATAACCACACGATCAATAAAACATGATTCCAAGTTTCTCTAAACTTGTGTGGACTGTCTGTTCAACACGCACCAGAAACAGGAACAAAGACAGACGCTGGTGCATCAGTTGGGTTACCTTGTCCTAAAGGTGTAGCTGATGTAGTTTTGCTTCAACCCTAACCCTAACCAGAACCCGTCGAGGTCAGCCTGACTGGTTTTAACTGTACGGGAGATGAATTATAGTAAATCCTCCTTAAACCTAAGTCAGGTCAGACTGACTGATAATCTCAAGTGATTCACATGTTAGTTTTCATTATCGTCTGCCTTCATTATCTGTTCTACATTGAGCAGAACCCATCCAGACTGCCTAACGGAAAGGCAGGCCATGCTTATTGTGAATGTTTGTGTGCGGTTTTTACTCACACTCGTGTTTGTTGTTCACACATCCTTTCCACTAAATCCTACACTCCAGTCTGAGTTTGATTTTTGCATGACACACACTGCATGTTCATGTGCATGTACTTAAATGTGTTACTGTTCAGAGGTATCGCAAACTGTCTGTTTGTTATGATCATTTATTTCTGTTTATTTAAAAATGTTTCCTTCAGATTGTGATTGGAGAGTGCTACAGGATTCATCAGCTACAAGAGGGAACCACGTCGTTTGTTGGGAATCCTTACGTTGCGGCTCTCTACAAACAGGTTAGCTCTGTGTAATGATACACTCATATGGGTGGGGTTACCTTTACCTAAAACGTTGTTGTAAACTAAACTGAAGTAGTCTTAACTTAAAGAGACAATGTGCAGTTTTTACTATGAAGTAAAAAAATCCATCAAAATGTTGTTAAAATGAAATAAAAGATGCAGCATCGTAACACATAGCCACACACATCGGATCTAAAATACTTGGGAGCGGGTCTAAGTCTGTGGGCGATGCCATCTTAGACTACAGGAGCCTGTGAGGACAAAACACATTTACTGGTTTGTGACAAGA